CACTGCAAAAGCTGCCTCTGCCAAAGAGGGGGATAACACATCAGAGTTTATAACTGACACCAATTTCGTGCTGCTGCTTTTTGCTTCCCTCATTTCATGAGTGAAGTTAAAGCTCTTTTCTGGTGCCAGGCTGGCCCCAAAGGCAGCAGCAGCAGGAGCAGCCAGATCTGCCTTCCTGGGATCCCTCCTGACAGCACAGGATGAGCCAAGTGGTTTATCCACAATAAACGATCTCACCAAAGAAAAGCTGGCAGTTAACATTAAAAATTACCCTTGATACAGTCTCTGAACACAACCTGAGCTTCAACCAGCCAAAACGCAACCAGAGGCTCGTGTCGTATCACAAATGGTGGTTCGTTAGGAACGTGGTTTCTTCACTTACAAAACCCCAAAGGAGCATTTTTGTCCTCAGACAGAGGCTCTTGCAGCTGAGCTGTGCAGGACCTGCATCACTTCTGCCCTCAGAACAACTTTCTGCAATTGCTTTTTCCTACCATTCAGTCTCTGGAGCGAAGAGGGAGAAGGTGTTAGTGTGACATTAAAGCATTTGGCAGAGGGCTGAACATCCTGACCTCTCTGCAAACAAAGCCTGACTTAAACCAAACTGGATTTAATCCTCGGTCAAGTTATTCTGGCCAGTTTAAAAGCTCAGAGCTGTGTGTCCCCTCTCCCCAAGAGCACCAAACCCACACCCAAGAGTGTCCAGCTGACCCAACACTCTGAAAGCCACCAAGGTCTGATGGCTTCTGGTTTGAGAAAAGAATACAGAGGGTTAGTCCAAGCAATTCATTAAGACAGGTTGTTAACACAGCTTTTTTGTTGTTGTTGTTAATAAGCAGTGGAAAGGAGGATGTGATTTGCAATAACATTTATTAATGATAAATGTACATATTTACAAAGAGAAATCTGAGAAAAAATACAAAACCGAAAAAGTGTTCCAAAAGAGAGCATTTTAGGTAAAAAAGAAAGTGTTTTTAGTCCCCACAAGCTGATCCTACACCACCATGTACCACTGATAGCAGATCCCAAAGGGGCCCAAACCAAGGCCAGTCCTTCCCTCCAGCCTCACAAACCACGACGGATGCAAACAGGGACACAAGAGGAACCACCACTGACAGGTTCTCCAGTGTCACCCACTACTACATACAGACCAGAGAGTTCCTGCACGAATCCATAATCCTTTTTTGGGGGCTGAATTTGCCCAGAAAGCTTCCTCCCTCATCCTGTAGTTCAGAACAGCCACCATCAACTCACGACCAGAAAAAAAGAAAACCCAATAAACCAGTGGAATAATTCTCAAAGTGACAAATTACTGACACTGACGTGAAGTGAAAGACACTTTGCCCACAAGCATCAGGAGTTGGACTCTATGTTCCTTATGGGTCCCTTCCAACTCAGGATTTTCCATGATTTTATGATAACCTTCCCAGGAGCCTCGTGGTACAGACACAGCAAGGCCAGCCCAGCCTCCTTCCTCCAAACACAAACTGCTCCCTTGGTGCCACGTTGAGGAAATCCACCTGTCCTTGTTGTTTCAGGAGGGAAAACAGGGAATACCTACTCTTTGGGGTCATCCCTGCACAAACTGCAAGGGAGGGGAGCTGGTCTTGGCTGAACTCCGTGCCCTGAGCTGCCCATGGAGAGTCCTCAGCTCATCTTCTACTGACTCCCCAGGAGAGGCAGCACGTGACAGGAGATGCAGCCAACACCCTCATTTATCTGCTCACTTTTAATAGTGGGAAAGACAAAAGGGATGCTGTTTTGCAGCAGTGAACACCTCGAGTATCACCACAAGCAGAGCCCGACACTCAGCACAGCCTCAGAGCTGAATCCGAGTTCCGAAGCCACCAGCAGCATTTTGCTGCTTAAAATTACCGATGTCCACCCTTTTCCTAAAGCAGGAAAGCACAAGAGATTTGTGTATGTTCTAGGTGGTGTTCAGAAGAGATGGAATCAGAGTAAGAAGAGTGAAAGTGAGAGTGGAGCCAACCACTAATATCATGATGGAAAAGGCTGGAGCCCCGAGAGCTCCTAAGGGGATCCCACACACAAGCACCAAAGAGCAGAGTGACCACACCCCAAAACACTGGGAGAGCCTAATTAACATCAAAACTGCTGCCAGACTTATCCTGGTGTGCCAGAGTCACCAAAATGTCATTTTCTGCAGCAGGCCACGTTGGAAAATCAGGATTTCTCACACCAGCCGGGATGAGGTTACATGCTGCAAGACAACTCCAGGATCCTGGAAGGATCCAGGAAGGGACAACTCAGTTCTCCATCCTTCACAGCCTGGCATTGCACAGGCTGTGTGAATCCCTGTTAATGGGTGCCAGTGTCAGGGCAGGTCGGTGTTCCCAGCAAGTTTGTTCCTGAGGAAAACAGGGAGCGAAGCACGGAGTTGGTCTCTTTAGCTGTACAAAACCCCTGAGACCTCTGCTCTTAAACAGCACTAGAGCCAGTGAGCTCTCCCTGTGCTCAGGGGTGACAGTAGGCATCCCAAAATCCCTCCTCTCAGCACTGCATCCTGCAAGGGCATCAAGGGGAAAAGGTGAAACCAAGAGCACCAAGGTGTAGGAGACACGGAATGTGCACAAAGGGGAGAGAGAACGTGCAGGAACGAGACCTTACACAGAATGCCATGGACTGTCACTCCCTTTGCCTTCCAAGCAAACAGGAAAAAAAAAGCAGAGGAGGGATGGGGAAAGGGGCTGGAGCCCCAAGGGCACATCCCTGTGGCATCAGGTGGATGAGGTTTCTGTTCCTGATAAGCTATAGGAGTTGTCTGTCAGGAGGGATCATATCCACCTGGAGGAATACGGATAACTGGCCTCTAAACTGCCAGAGAAACAGAAAGCATTTGTTCAGTTTCTTTGTACTCTGCAGTGATAATTGGTATACAAATCCCAAAAATGTTCCTGAGTGATCTCAGAGTGTAAAGTTTCCAAAGTTTTTTGCTGATGACAACCAGCCTTATCTCAAGATTAGAAAAGAGAGAGAAAAAGACTGCTTGAACTGAAGAATTACAGAATTGAGCTGAAGTGGCAGAGTCCACCCTCTCATCCCTCTGGGGATGAGACACCCTGAGCACTCCGGTCAAATATTGCTCTGGGCAAAGAGTTTTAGAGTTCAGGTCCTTTGGAATCAGGTGACAGGGCTACAGAAACCAAGGCTTTGCCAAAGCCACCCATGTGGCTTCCAAGTCCTTGTCATGGGACTGAAAAGACACGCACAGGAACCTCAGCAGTGCATTCCAACAGTGATCCCAAGCGATGGCTTTGGGAAGGGAGCACCTGTTGTGTTTAAGCTGCTCTTCTCCAGGAAATATGGGCAGAAAATGGACAGAGACACACCCACACAACTCCCTCCCTTCACTCCCCAACCAGGTTGGGGAGATCAAGCAGTCCCTGTTTTTCACCATGTCTGTTCCAATTTTGGGAAGGAGATGCAGGCAGGGAATCCCAGCCAGAAGCATCCCCCTGGCTTCTTCCATCCTGCATCTTCTGCACGTGGCACCACAACATCTCTTCCCACCTCTGCTCTCCAGGGCCCACCTTTGTCTTCCTAAACTCCACCCCAAACTCCCTGGAGTTCAGGTGCATTCCAAGGGATGCTCCAAGGATGCAGGGACACAGCCTGCTGACTCTCTCCTTCACCTGGACACCTGGACAACAACCCTCTGACTCCTCCACTTCCAAGTACTGAAGGAGGAAGACTGTGTATTAAAGGCAGTGTATTAAAAAGGGAAGAATCTTTTCCAATGAAAAATCAGCATCCTCACAAAACAAAGTCCTAAAGGCACAAACCGGTGAACTAATCGGAGCAGGGTACAGGAGGAACTGGAAAGATTCCCGTGGGATTAAAACAAAGGGTTTCACTACCAACCTAAGTTTCTGAGACAGCACTTAGAGCCTCAGTCTGTACACTGAAAGCAAGAGGTGGCTCGAGTGGTCCGTGACACACCACGGACCCTCTGACCAGACAGCACATGCCATGTTTGACTTATTCCTGCAAGCTTATCTGCTTCCTAAATAACACTGTTCACATGGATACAGATCTAGAAAGGGTTATAAATACATGTATTTATATATATTCACACATTTTAGTCCCTGTAATAAAGGTCTGCTCCTTTCTCTCCCGTGCTGGTGGCGCTGGGGGCTGTTCCCAGAGTAACTGTGTCCAGCCCAGTCCTCCAGCAGCTGCAGGAAAACACGGATTAGTGCTGAAAGGAGACGTGGGGGGCTCAGCTCAGCCCCATCTTTACTATTTACAGAAAAGAAACCCCTCAGACACAAAGTCCCACCTTCCCTGCAGCTCACAAAGCAGCTCTGCTCAGCCCAGCCGGGTTGGAGCCTGCACAGCCCAGCCAGGAGAGCCGGGATAAACGGGAGCATCATCCAGACAATTTACACCGTAGGCAATAAACAACGAGCGGCATGCAAAGGGTTCGGGTAAAGAAGTCAAAAACAACCGAGGGCTTCAACATTCAGAAGTGTGTCCTGATGTGGCCAAGCCAACATGGCAAGAGAGGGGATGTTAAAGCAGCAGGGGACTCCAGCCCTGGGACCTCAGCAAACACGAGTCCATCAGTTCCACACAAATTTAACGCAACACATCCCAAGTGCACCGAGCCCATCAGATCCCAAGAAATGATTAATCTATGTTGACAAGAAATTTCTCCTTGCAATGGGTTTTCTCCTGTAGCACTGTGTATTTTCTTGGACACGTGAATAGGGGTGGAGAGGGAAGCTGGGATGCTTTACCAAAGGCTTCCCTCGCTGGGAAAAGAAAAGCTGTCCCTGAGTCATCACCAACAGCAGTGAAAACCAGCACTTTGTACTGAAATGCCAATCTGAGTTTCCTAGGAAAGGAGCGGTTATGGATTAGATTCTGATTTTCTTCCCAGAGATTCAACCTCTTGTTGCCCAGAGAGGTTGTGGACTCCCCATCCCTGGAAGTGTCCAAGGCCAGGTTGGATGGGGCTTGGAGCAACCTGGGCTGGTGGGAGGTGTCCCTGCCCATGGCAGGGGGTTGGAACGAGATGGGCTTTAAGGTCCCTTCCAACCCAAACCATTCCAGGATTCCATAATTCAGCAGATTACTGCAAAGCCTCTTTTGGACCAGTATCAAAGGTTCTCCAGCTTTTGAACATCTTACATTAAAAACAACAAGCTTTAAAGCAATTTTTTCCAGCAATTCCTACGCGAAGTCTACAGGGGCTCTACAGGAAGCCAGCGACTCCTCCCATCATTTCCTCTCCCCGTCTGCCCTCTCACAGCAGTCAGGAACAGGGCTCAAAGGATTTGCTTTTGCACAGGAGGAAACTTCAGAAGGGACCTGGCAATCCCAGCCCACTCCTGCCAGGTGCCCTCCCAGCCACACAAGGACACACAGTGGGATTAACAGGACGGTCGCGGGGTGTCCCTCCCCGGGACAGCGAGCTACGGAGATCAAAGACCACGACAGAGGAAGATGCAGCAGAGGCCACGGCCAAGAAATTCAGGAGCTTTGGTCTTGAGGTTTCAACACGGCCCTGTTGCCACTCAGAGAAAGAGCAGCCACCAAACAGTCAGCGCTACGACCAGGAGAAAGGACATCATAAAGGGAATGCGCGGAGAAGGAAAAATGCTAGAGTACAGCTGACACTTTTTGAGTGCTTTCTGCTCTTCAGGGATTGCAATAGAAACCTTTGGAAGAGCTTCTTCACTTGCTGGCCGGGGAAAGGCTGTCTCAGTAGGTATCTGCTGCTTTTTTAGTTTGTCTTCATCCTGTACTAACAGAGGACGTTCCCGTTTCTGCTTTCGTGGTAGGAGATCAAGAAAGACAGAGAGAGATGAACAAAAATGACAGATGGAAAGTGCCCAAAAGTGACACTTGGAGGTGTGCAAAGCATTAGGACAGCTCTTCTCAGTGTAAAATAAACTGCCCTGGGGAGCAGAGCAGCTGGTGGCCTGGGCCACACCAGCCTTGGAGCTACAGAACCATGTCCTCCCCGCAGAGCTCATCAGCATCTGGATCAGGGTCGTGGGTGGTTTGTGCCTGCCCTGCCAGAAAAGCAGGTGCTCAAAACCTCCTCTGGAGTGTTTTGGAATTGGAATGGTCAAGAAAAAAGTCGGAGGCATTAGGAATAGGAATGGTGCAGTACAAAAAGTGGTCTCTGACAGCTTCCTAACCTACCCTCAAAACCAGCGTTGGGCAAATCCCATGGAACAAGCCAGACCGCGGAGCAGATACAAAAGGCTTTTCCAAAGTTCTGACCAGAGTATCAAAATTACTGATTGGTCTGAAAATTCTACTGGAGCGAGTGTAAAATTGTTATTCTCAGAAATGCCACGTGTGGAACGGGCAGGATGGCAGTGGGAGCACCGCAGGCTGCTGGAATTTTGCTCCGTGTTTCAGCACTTTTGTTTCTGGAGTCTGAAGAACGACAAAAACCCGGAATGAGTAAATCAGCACACAGGACCATGCAAAGGCTCCAGCACTTCTGCTGAAGAAAGAAAAGATTGTGGGAATGTTGCTGTGCAGGAACTCTCCATCCCTTTGGTTTGGCAGCCCTGGGCAAATCCAAGTGTACTTAGGAGAGGAAAAACTTGGCTCTAAGCTCCCTCAGCTGAGCCAACCTCCTCTGGTCAGTGCGGTATTTTGGGACTGGTTCTTTGCACACCCCTAAGTGGTGAGAATTGGGGAGAAAGTAGCTGGGAGACTGGGCAGCAAAAGAAAAATATAAAATGCCAGAGTAACATGATTGTTAAAACAACAAAGGAACGGAAAGAAAGACAACATAAAAAGAACAGGGAACAGTTAAACTTTCAGAATTGCTTTTCTCGCCGAATACACGGTTATATCGTTCATGCAGCTTTTTCGAACCAGCCATGCACCAAAATAAGCAAAAACTGAAAGCTGCAAAAGCTGCAGCAAGTGCCAAAGTCCTCTGGGTGTGAGTTATGAAACTACTTCATGTAGCCAAAAGAAAAAAATGTTATCCAGCAGCTGCTGTCGAGTTTTTGCTTGGTGCCATTGCAACAGCAAGTCTGGTTCAGAAGCACAGATCAGAGCAGCAGCTTTACCTCAAGCCCACCAACCTGTCTCTCAGAAGTTTGGACAGTGACTTTCTTGACCTGGACACACAAAGCGTGTTAAGGTTCAGTCGTCTCGTAATAAAACATTCAGGAACAGCAGAAAAGCAGCCCCTGGCACACAACCCTTGGGCCACTAGGGCAGGGTGAAGGTACCACCTTTGCACGGTGAATTATCATCCTTAAATTACCATCATGGTTTACCATCCTTCAACACGTGCAGGTGAAGGAAAACACCCTCCCTGGTCAGTGCCTGGTGAAGATGCATTTCTGGAAGTTCACAGAATGTGGCCACCTCCACCTCAGAGCAAGATCACTTCAGAGAGGGGTCAGATTAAGAGGGACTTTCCAGAAATGCAAATCCAGGGACACTAAAGACCCACTGCAGCTTTAGGTGGGACAATCCCACACCATCCAAGACCTCACAGTGTGGTCACCTTGAGAGAAATTCTCCACAATAAGCAAGAATATCGTTCTTGAACTGCAGTTGTGGAGCTTGAGAGCCCCTGCTCTGTCCCACCCACACCCCAAAAACCACGTGGCACCGTGGGCAGAGCTCTGCTGCCCAAATTCCTGTGGATTTCAACTGAGGCTCAGCAACCACAGAGCAAAGTCTATCCATGTGTTAAACAGGGTAACCCCAAGGACAGTTTGCCCAGAGAAGCTGTGGCTGCCTCATCCCTGCAAGTGTCCAAGGCCAGGCTGGACGGGGCTTGGAGCAACCTGGGCTGGTGGGAGGTGTCCCTGCTCATTGCAGGGGGTTGAATGAGATGGGCTTTAAGGTCCCTTCCAACCCAAACCACTTTGTGATTCTACAGCAACCAACCCTGACTCAGTTCAATTTGGGGATCTCATTTTTCCTAAGCTGCCCTGGGTTTTCTCTACACTTTGAGGAGTCTGTAGTAAACTTGGTGTTAAACCCCCTGCAATGTTACAATGCTCCATCCACTGCAAGATTATTTCCTGATTAATAAGTGTTTCCCTTGCACTGGTTTGAAGATTAAACACAAGTTTATCTGCAGGGCTGTGAGCATGAAGGAGAAAACCAGGAGAGAGTCTCCAACTGCCACCACTGCAGCCAGGATGCAATTTTTCTGTTGTAACAAAAAATTGCATTTACTACTGAGTGAGAGAGTAATCAGAGACTGATTACCACGGGTGCTAACTACAGTTTTACTCACAAGCCCCAAATCTGAGTTAGGCACCACCAATATGACATAGAGAAGGTGTCTCTTAGCCAAGAAGAAACCAGTTGGTGACAGATCTCTGCTGTTCCAACTGGGTTTCTTTGAAAAATTACCTTTTTAAGGGAATTAGCAGAGAAACTGGGTGTATGTGGCTACTAACACACAGGCCCTGCTCCTGGAAGGAGGAAGGTTCCCATCACGTATGAGCAAGCCCTGCTGAGGAGTCTTCCTGAAGCCTCCACAGCAGATCAGCACCTGGAGTTCCTAATGCAAGTCTAAACCCCAAGAAGAAACTGGAGAGTAAAGTGATTTCGGAACAATTATCCCATCCTAGTGGCTTCTGCACTGGGTTGCAATATTACCTCTGAAGTAATAATTCTCTTTAATTTAGGAGTTCAGGTGGGGATTTTTTCCCCCACATTCTGGGGAGATCCAGTCCCCAAGCCAGCCATGGGAAATGCTCTCTAACATCGCAGCGGCAGCAACACAAGGAAAAGCATCACCAAAAGCAGGTGAGGAATCCCTTCGTATCGAAACAAACCCCACGTTTTCACGATGCCACGACTTCAGCTCTCTCAGGGACCACCCCACAGGTTAAAGGGCCACCCCTTGGAACACCAGCGTGCCCCGAGGTACTCACTCCGTCCGCTCCCGTGGGGATCTGCCCGTTGACGTTGAGGGTCCGGAAGGGGGAGTGGGTGGACAGGCGTTTGTCCCACTCGCTCGGCCGCGGCTCCGGGACGGACTCCATGAAGTTCTTCTTCAGCTCGCTGATGTTGGCGTGGTGCTTCTTGATCTCCTCCTGGGGCTTGTCTAGATCCTACCAGCGAAAGGCACAGGGTGTGAGTGGAGGGGGGTGTGGGGAGGAGCTGGGACTGCCTAGGCTGCGCTTAGCAAAGCTGCGCTCAGCGACCTCCCGAGCGGCGCTCACACCGCAAACACACAAAGGGAGCGTCCTCTCTCCTCTCTCCCCTCGGATTAATCTGGGAGAAACTGCGATCACGGAGCGGGGTCTCCTCCGGGTGACCTGCAATTCTCAGGGGGTTTCTTTTTAGAGTTGCCAGACTGTGTTTGTTTGGGTTATTTTTTTTTAAAAGGGGGTAGGTTTGCTTTCTGTTTGCTTTCTTTTCCCTCTGCAAGCCTGAATATTCCCAGGTGTCGATACAATTAATGTTCAATAACATGTCTCCCCAATTTTTTTTTTTTTTTTTTTTTTGCTCTCTTCATACCTATTTCCCTTTAATCCTACCAGGAATTATCTCTGCTCCCAGAATATCCCCATTACCATCGTTTCCCCTCCCTCTCATCTCATCCCTCCAGGAGCTACCGTAGGAGGTTTTAGACTTCTGAAATGAAGATGAGATGATTTTTTTTTTTTTTTAAACAAACTGAAAATTTCCTTTATGCTGGATCAATCGAAAAACTCCTGATGATTTTTTTTTTTTTCATCTAGAAAAAGCCAGATTTCTACTCTGTGATGCCAGTTTACAGCATAAACACACAGACTTCAAGGCAAGTCAGCTCGTTAAAAATAGTTTTTTTCTTTGCAAGCAAACCAGAGTTTGTAGAAAACAAAGCTTCTGCATAAAATAGGCGTAAGCCAAACAACAACTTTTCTGGACAGGGCCAAAAAGCAGCAAGAAAGGGAGAAATCAAGATCAGTAAAAGCATCACTGGGAAATTTAACTACTTTTGTGATTTCAGTTGTTACTCAGCCCATTAATTTTAGAAGATGGAAGAGCAAACACATCCCTATAGGAGGGGCCCTCCCAAAAATCTGCATCCCTGCAGCTCACCCAGGACACAGCTAAACCCCAAATGGCTCTTAAACAACATTTACCCCTTTTGGCACAGTTCTGGGGGGAAAAAAGCAAGTTTTGGCATCAATCCTGGATGAAAGTAAAAGGGAAGTGCCTGCTGGGTAGGGGGAAAAAAAGCAGAAATAAGTCTGCTGAGGACTCCAGGGTTAATCCCTGCCTGGGACCAGGCACCCTACAGCTGCTCCTGGCTCAGAGAAGAGAGAAGGACCACCTTGGCTTTTCCAGCACTGTGCAGGAGCAGGGCCTGGGAGGGCTGGAGAGGAGCTAAAGCCACGAGGAGCTACGTGGAGCCAGGTCTGGGAAGCACCTTGAGGAACCAGCTCGCTCAGCGTCACCTCCTTTTCCTCCTGATTTTCCCTTTCTGCAAGAACCTGGTGCACGTGGAGAGTTAAAAGGTTTTCAGCAAAATCAACAGGCAGCTTCAGGAGGGTGAGGTCTGCTGGGAAAACACCTGATCTGCCAAATGCATGGGTTAAAAAACACAAAGGGAGTGAAGGGGGTGAGCTGCTGGGTGAGCCCTGTTCTAGGGGAGGGCTGGAGCACCTGCAACAGAACCAGGGAGGGAAAGGGCTGGGTGGCAGAGGCAGGTATTGCACTAACAGGAAAAAAGGGGTTTGGAAGCGATGACCAAGCTCTGTTTGGGGTTGGGGGAGATGGAGCTGTTTGAGCTGGGTGGAAGAAGGCGACAGGCAGAGTCTTCAGAGCTCCAGCAGCGGCCCGATGTGTTCACACCCTTCACTCGCGGCTCAGAGCTCTACGTTGTAGCAGGTTAAAAAAAAAATTAAAAATAAAAACAAGACCAAAAAAAAAACCTCAAAAACCCACCCAAAAGCTGCAAAACTTTGAAAATTCCAATTAGGAGAAGGCAGTTAGTTCACTCCACTTTTTCAAGAGATGCCAACAGGGAAACCCTACGAGCTGCTGGGGCTGCAAGTCTTGAGTAGAAAACACGTAACACAGAGTAACAAGAGCCACAAAACATCTCCCATAACACAGTGTATTAAAGAATTAAAATATATGATTGGCATGGTCTGTTCTGAGACCGTGCTTGGGTGAAGGCAAACGGAAAGGGCTCCCAAATTCAAAGGGAAGAGCTGTAAGGTGCAGGGATGAGCCCCCACGTCAGAGGTGACAATTTCACTGAATCCCAGAATGGTTTGGGTTGGAAAGGACCTTAAAACCCATCCAGTTCCACCCCCTGCCATGGGCAGGGACACCTTCCACCAGCCCAGGTTGCTCCAAGCCCTGTCCAGCCTGGCCTTGGACACTTGCAGGGATGGGGCAGCCACAGCTTCTCTGGGCAACCTGTTACAATTTCCCCTGTAGCCTATCCTGAATTTTATATTTTCATAGACTGGCTTTTCCCCCAGGAAAATAATTTGTGCCAAGCAATGAAAAACTAATTCCCACAACAATCTATGCCCCTGTGAGCACCCAGTGGGTCCCAGAGCAGATCTGAGCTCTGCCAATCATGTATTTTGGGTAGGTATGAGAGAATGAAAGTCAGAAGAGGAAGAAGGAAGAATGGCTGCACATCGTCATGTTTACTGCCACCATGCAAAAGCATAATTAAAAAATCAAATCAAATCAAAAGGTCTTTCATGCAAGAGCATGCAAAATAAAGGCAGCAGCAGAAGAGGAAGAAGTTCAGCGCAGATGCAGAAGGTTTAGGCAAATGCAACTCAAAAAAAGCTTCAAGTTCATACAAACCTCCAACATTAAATTGCTATGCCTGATATAAATGTTTTCACCATCTAGCCTCTTTGATCTCTTCTGTGAAAATGAAAGGAAAGGGGGAAACAAAACAAAACAAACAAAAAAAAAAGCACAAAAATTAAAACGTTGGTCTTGCGGGATCGAGAAATCGGCAAATTAAAAAAGTTAACTCAAGGTCGGGAGTGCAGCGCTGAGGCAGCGTGGGGTGGGAATTCCCACCAGGAATGGGGGTCTGGCTCATGGAGAATGGGAGATGTGATGAGTCCTTTAAAGAGACAGCTCCCGGGGGGGCCTCGGCTCCGACCACAAAGAGACGGTTACCGGTCTTTCCACGGAAACCTTGCACAGGTCACCAACATCACATTCCTGAGGGATGCAGCCCACCCCAGTGTGAGGCTGTACTACCTGGAGTAACCTCTACAAGGTCCCCGTGTGCACAGTAACTATGCCTTAACAGCCTTTCCCATCTTGGATGTGTCCCTGTCACTTAATCAACACCAAAAAAAACGTCCTCCTCTTTTTTTTTTTTTTTTTTTGCATTTCCTGCAGTGCACACTGCACAGTTTTCTCTGGTTTTTAACTAAATTTGTTACAGAGAAGATAAATTTCATAAATCAAGCCAAGTGTGTCTCTTTTGAACATTCAACATGCGTAATTTTAGCAATCAGGTTGTGTCTACGGGACAAAAAAACTACTCATTTTCCAATCAAGTATTTGGTGGGTTAAAGACAATCAACCTCCCAACCCAAAGAACAGGAAGAAATTGGAGCACTGTCTTTTTAAACATGTTACAGATGCATGAATGATATGGCAAATTTGGCTGGTGAAAGGGTAAAATGGCTAACCTTCCTCATTCTTATCAGTTCTTCCTCTTTTTCTGCAGGCTGCTGCTGTTGGGCAGTGATAAAAACAAAAAAAAAAAAGAGTTGTTGGTTCATTTAATTACGTTGAACCTTCAAAAAAAAAAAAAAAACCAAAACAACTGTGAGCAACCTAAACTGAATTATGAGCACAAACCTGGGGCTGGGCACCCTTCGTGGTGGGGACTGTGACCTCAATGTGTGTTTTCCTCACCTACATTTAAGAAATAAATCGGTAAAAACATTTCTTGTTAGTAGATTTGTTTCGAGAAACCATTTAGTTTCCAAACACGGCTGCATAAAGTTGGTTTTTTGAGGTGCTGAGGGGGAAAACATGCAAAAAAAAAAACCAACATGCAGCCCTGGGTTAATGGCACGGCAGCTCCCGGCGCTCTGTTAGTCAAACAGCAGGTGAAATAATTCCTTCAGCTCCAGAATTATTTGTATTTGAAACCAAGTGCTCTGCAGGGCTTCTGAAGGAGGGCTTCCCACTTTGCATGAGCTCGGCCAGGCAGTGTTTTCAAATGTCATTTTGCAGCTGGATCTCCCAGTGAAATCCCACCAAAGCAACATGCTCCAGTTAACACAGACCTTCTCAAAAAACAGAAATTAGGGGTTATATGCACAGGTATTATGTTGGCAGAGGAAGTAAGAGCAGGCTTAGCTACAAAACCAAGCCTAACATCACTAATTAAGTTCTTTCCTGTCCACAAAGCAGAGAGCCAAGATTGTCTTAACACTCTCGAGGAAGTATTTTAGGGAAATTGGATTGCCAAGTACTCTGAAGGCAAAAGCATCAGTGGGTGTTAAAAGAAGTGATGCAGCTACACTGGAGAAACAGGGTAAATTTGGCACGTTCAAATCCACAATTTCCTCCCACATCTATATTTGAAGAGGAAAAAAAAAAAAATCCAGTGTTTAAGTATTTAAGAAAAAAAACCTGTAATAACTGAGATGTGATGAGTAAAATTTCCTCGTTCTCAGTGTAACACGAGGGAGGAGGAGCAGCCAGGCAGGAACTCTGTGCTCCAATTCCAACCCCACAGTGCCAGCCTGAGGATCCCTTCAGCACTTTCATTTAAAAATTACTGCTCACACAGGCCTTGGAATTTTTTGAAGCAACTGTCCTTTCTTCACCTCCATCTCCCAACCTTAATTAATGGGGATTTCCCCTGGAGATGTCACACAAGACCCACTGTGTGGTATGTTACAGGAAATGTGGCTCCAGCAGTGCTGAGATCTGCTAAATTTTGGAGTGATGTGAAAATCGTGTCTCAAGGCAAACACCTCTGCTGCACCCCTGCAAGGCTTCAGTCAATAAGATCTGCAGAATATTAAGGACACTGTAATATCAACATTAATTTTGCATATTATTCTGACTTATTAGAACAGCACACACACGTATCAACCCCAGCAAAGGCCTCAGACATTTGTAGAAAGGTCAAATAATGGTTTTAAAAAAATGGCATTTAAACAACAAGCCCCCCCAAGGTCTCACCAGTGCCATTGTCAACTAAAGTTTTAGTCCAGTTTGCAGCACTGCGTTACCAGCTCTCCCAGCCAAAGCCTATCAACGTGAAAAACATTCTGGCACTGAGCTGCAGCCAGATCCATATCACTGATTTCACTGGAATTGCCTCCTGCTGTCGTACCAGGAATCAAGAGGCACAGCCTGGCCGTGGGTGAGCCCTGAACTCCAACCCCACGAGCACGTGCAGCTCTTGGCAGTGCTTTTAAACATCTTGAGGTTGCACTCAGTTTGACTGCAGCCACCAAAACTTGGGGGTGTCTCCTCTTCCACAGGGAATGTCAGGGCTGGGATTTCCCTGGCACCCAGGCCCCCGTGCCTGCTCCCACCTGATGCCTGGGAGAGGGGCAAACCCCTCATCTCCCAGGAGGGGAAGGTGGGCAGAGCTGCTGCTTTGGGGTGGCTCCTGGAGCGACGCTCCGGTCTGACCTACCTTGGATGCATCAGCCGGCTCTGCCTTGGCTTTCTCCGGTGGGAATTCCTCCCGTCTCACATCGGTTTTGGCTGTTTCCCTCCCTGTTTTAGACGTGGCCACGTCCTTCACGTCAGGCTTAGCTGGGGCTGGCTCTGCAGGGTGGCTCTGAGCGATGGCCGGGGCCGAGGTGGGCCGGGGACTCCGCTCCGGGGTTATCACGGCCACTGCTGAGGAGGGGGTGGGGGGATACACAGGGACAAGGTTCAGAGCAGGTAATGTTCCAAAGCTCTAGGCAAAGTCTTTCCAAATTACAGTGCTGTCATTTCAAAAGAAAGGGAGGAGGAGGAGGAGGAAAAAAAGGGAAACGAAATAAAGATGTTGAGCGAAGCAGCTTGTGCGTTTAGTACGGGAGGGTTGAGATTATTTTCCTCATGGTTTAAACAAAACCAAATAAAGCCCCACACCAGATGGTTTACAGAAAAGCAAGCTTGCACTCTGCAGAGAAGCCACACCAGAAAGGCAAATCTGGAATTTGACATCGTGCCACGGATTTCTGGGTCCTTCACACACAAACTGACACGGACTCCACTCCAGTGCAACCACAAAACAGACACAGCACGGGGAGTTCTGGGCTTGTGGGCACCTCCTCAACCAGAAACAGATGGTTTCTGGAAGGGAAACACAGGTTTTTTTCCCCCCCACTCCCCAGTCTTTTAGGCAACTCAAATGAAAAAATAATCAACAAGCACCGCTCTAGGAAACTTCACAGCAACTTCCAGGTGGGATTCAAAGCAGGCTGGGCTGTGTGTCCCGGGGGGTATCTCCGAGGCAGCATGGTGGGAAGATACCCAGCACCTCCAGGCCAGTGACAGTGCAGGAATGAACAGCATGCTGCCAAAAAATCACCTTTCCAGAGGATGAGGGTCTTAAAACACGAGCACTAGCCCCACACAAAATCAACTGCCTATTCCTTTCCTTCAGTTCCTGATTTTCCAGGCAGTTCCTTACCCCTGACTCCAACAAAATATTCAAGCCAATACTGTGTGACAAAGCCACTCCCAATTAATTCCCTGTGTGTACCTATAGATACAATAAGCTATTTGGTTTTCCTGATGTTGGGTTTTAAGGATGTTCCACTAAAAACACACCCAAAATAGTATCTTTGACGAGGTCCCACATTCCCAAAGTCACAGTTTGCAGCGGGGTCACACCGTGCAACCCATCCCATCCCACACTGGTGTTCCAGTCAAAGACACTAGAAAATTTGCTGTTAAAAAAGAAATTGTGATTTCAAGCAACTCCTTAGTAAGAACCTGATTTTCCACAGACTGGAATTACACTTTCAGGACAAACTCTTGGACCCACCCCAAACCCCATACCAACACCACGGGCTCCGTCCTCTCCCTGCTCCTCAGCACAGCAGCTCATTCCTGTGACCCAGACACTGTGTTAAACTTTCAGGAGGACAATCAGTGCCATGTCCTGGTGTATTTATGCCATGGAAGCGGTGACAGCCGCTGGGAAGGTTGTACAGAGGTGGGATGGTAGGGACAGTCGGGATGAGGAGGATGCTGGGAGAGCAAAGCCGTCATCGCGGTGGTACCTGGCTCCTTCGGGACTGGCTCTAGTTCTCTCACCACCATCATTTTTTCTTCCTCCTCCTCCTCCTCCTCCTCCTCCTCCTCTTCAATTGGGCTTATCTCAATACTGCCAAGATCACGTTTGGCTAAAAAAGTTATGGATGTGTTAAAATGCCACCTCAAGGATGAAGCAGCAAAGGAAATACTGCCACCAGTAAATCCACACGGTCACCTCTCCTGCTCCTCTCCCAGGGCATCAAGACATGCAGGAAAAATAATAACAGACACCAAGCTTTTCCTTTGCCATCCAACAGTGAGTTATGGGCTGCCCAGAACTGTATTTTAGTTAATTTTCCTGATTAACTACTTTAGGCCATTTTGACACATGATTTAAACACAGTATAAAAGGCACTGCCCCCAAATAAAAGATATAAAATGTAGGTTGGAACTGGATGATCTTTAAGGTCTCTTCCAAACCAAACCACTCCATGATTCTGTGATTGACCACCATCACCCCACTGACAGTCCCTGCTGGGAACAGGAGAGTCAGGAGGAGGAAAAGTGCAGGAGATGGATAAGAAGGGGCAGCTGCATCAGCAGAGCCCCTGCTGTGCTCAGGTCTGACACTGACTGATGTCCACCCTTCTCCTGCCCATCCCATGGAACACCCTCCAGCGTTTTCCATACTAACCAAGAAAACGTGAAGCTCTCAGTTACCTCCCTCCACAGCTTCAATCTCCACTTTCTGCAGCAACTAATCAACTCTATTTTAATTACAATTAGCGTGGATCTGACTGCAGCAGCGACGTTGCTCTGACACCCTTCCCCAGCTAGGGAAGCAGCACTCCCTAAGTGAAGAAATAAAGTGGAATGTAGGTGACCTCCAGCAGTCCTGGACCTCATAACCTGATTTTCAGGCACTGCACGTTCCTACAGCTCAGGGGAGCAAACCTTCCAAGAGGGAACAGCAAGGGAGGAGCGTTAATAAGAGGCAACTGCACACTCACTTCCACACACAGCCAAGCCACGGCACCCACTCACCTCACCCAGGGCGGTCCTGGAAAGCAGCACACGGCAAAGCCAGGGGGGATTTTAGTGGCAACAAGCACCACCACAAAGCAGTGCAACCTGTGTCCTACAGCACTGCATCACTCCACCCCAGCAGTGACAGCACAGCAGCCACCAAACGCCGCTGCAGCTGTACCTGACCGCGGCGGCACCGGCTCCGGGAACTTTGGCTGGGCAACAGGAACCTTAACCACCTCTACCTTCTCCTCCTCCTCTTCCTCCTCTGCAATGGGTTTCATTTCAAAAGTTTCAAGAGTGTGTTTGGCTAGAAAGAGGTTTGCAGGTGTTAATGGGGGTCGGGGACCCGCACGGACACACGACGGTCACCACAGCAAAGAGCGAGGAGATCCCTCTCAGCAGCTGGGAAGAGGTTTGCAAACCAGGCAGCTCAACAGTCGTTTTCCACCATGGAACTGTGCACCAGCCTTTCTAGAGTGCTGCCATACCCAACAGTGCATTGGATAAGAGGGGGAAAGAACAACAGAAACAAGCTTTGCAGGCTCCTTGCCCAGGTGGGGACACGTGTGGAATAAGGATGGGCTCTGCCTGCAGAGTATGGAGGGACAGGGGTGCTGGCTGGCAAAATCCAGGCAAAACACATCCAGGTAACAACCTATCTAGAAACTAGCAGCTTTAATTAAACATACTTGAGTGATCCACTTCCAATCTACCCTGCTGCCTGGAATTCCTCACCCTGTTTTTACAGCATCGGGCTTTCCCCACCGGGCAATGCTGATTAGGGAGGATCAAGGCACGACCACGGTGGGGGGAAATCTGACACACTTCAAGAAAGCTGGATCTAGAAACTACAGAAACAGTGATGCAGTCAAAAGCACACTGTAAAAAAAAATTCCAGGTGGAAAGAGGGAAGCAGTGCAGTACCCACAGCATTTGCATACGAATTATTTCCAGCCCTAACACACCACAGGCGGTCGCCATCCAAGTGATGAAGGCTGCAAATATTTGACAACACTGTGCTGTGAAACACTTATTAGTATTCAAATGTGCTGTTGTACCTACACCCCTCTTAAGGACATTAATATTTATTAATATTTATTAATAGTACCTCTCTTAAGAGAAATATAAGCTCCACAGCCTAAAAGGGGTGGCATTTCTCAAATGCTGAAAAAAGATCCCAGAGTAGACTTAAAAAAAAAAGAAATCCCAGAATAGACTTCAAAAACGTCAAGAAGGTCCCAAGATGAAAAATTTCAAAAGCTTCACTAGAAGTTCCAAGATCAAACTTTAAAGTTTGCCAACTCACATACACAAAACTACTCAAATCTAATGAGAGTTCTCAAGTACCAACACATCCTAAACTTTTCCCCGCCTCCCCACAAGAACCACAAGGTGCAAGGTGGAAATTTAGGGAGTCTCCCAGAGCTGGGCTGTGTCTCCTCTCACTGCAGAATTCTTCTTGCAAAGGAATGAGAAGAGAAAGCTGCCAGATTTGGCAAAACTTGGAATCGTCAGGAACAAGCACGTAGAGGACAGGAAAGGTACTGCAGAGAGTTGTAGCCACCACCACCACAGCTATACCTGGCTTCTCTCGGATCTGATCCGCAGGTTTTGGTTCAGGAACCTCAACCACCACCACCTCTTTCTGCTTCTCTTCCTCTACGGTCCTGAACTCAACTCTGTGAGTCGCACGTTTAGCTGAGGAAACGGGGCACATGTTATAGGGACCCACATGGCACAGACAACACTGCAACCACCACGGAGCTCGGACCAAGCAGCCTCTTTCCTCTGGACTGGAGGTACAAAGCCCAGGCTTGGAGTGTCACTAAGCCCAGGAGCAGGGATAGCCTGGCTGCTGCTGGTCATGGGGTGTTGGGACAACCCTGGTGCCTCCCAGGCTGCAGCACAAGATCAGGGCTCAAAGCAATGCAGTCCCTGCTCCATCTGGGATGCTCCCCTTTCCCTGGATCCTTTCAGTGCACAGGAATCTTCCCCTTTCCCTGGATCTTCATCCTGCACAGGGATGCTACCCCTTTCCTAAATCCTCACAGTGCATAGGGATGCTCCTCTTTCCCTGGATCCTCTCAGTGCACAGGGATGCTCCTCTCTCCCTGGATCCTCTCAGTGCACAGGGATGCTCCTCTTTCCCTGGATCCTCTCAGTGCACAGGGATGCTCCTCTTTCCCTGGATCCTCTCAGTGCACAGGGATGCTCCTCTTTCCCTGGATCCTCTCAGTACACAGGGATGCTCTCCTTTCCCTGGATCCTCTCAGTGCACAGGGATGCTCCTCTTTCCTTGGATCCTCTCAGTGCACAGGGATGCTCTCCTTTCCCTGGTTACTCACGGTGCAAAGGGATGATCCCCTTTTCCAGGATCTTGGTACCCAGTGCTCCAGATCAAGTGGAGTCAGCTTAAACACTCTCCTCTCCACGTCTCACCTCCTCTAGCCTGGAGCTATCCATCTCCCTTAAAAATGTGGGATAAGCCCACCTGACTGACATCCCAACCTAAGCATGGCTTTAAGGGCATGGCTTTAAGGAACACTGAAGAAGTTTCAGTTGGGGCAAAAAATCTCCCCCTCAAGCAAACCTACGGAATTTAAGAAGTTATGTTACACAAAACAAATAGCTTAACTCCTGATTTTCTAAAGGAAAATGCTTTGAGACCGAATGAGGAAATATCTTTACAACTAGAACTTTGCCATGAGCCTTTAGCATCCACCTACATCCTTTTTGTCAGCTAGTACTGCTGGGACTACTCTCAGTCTGTATTTCTGTTTCGAGTCTGGCTCAGTTGGGAGCTCATTTTCCCACAGCAGCCCTCCCAGTGCTGTGATTTTAAGATAAGGACACTACCTGGGAGAGGTAACAGGCAAGTAAGTACTGAGCAACGTCAGAGAGCGGGATGATCGCGGGGAATTTCTGTCGTAATTACGCTGAAGGGACAAAGGGTGGCTTTTGTGTAAATCATCTGTGCTGTGACGATCTCGTGATGATGTTCTTTTGATCTTTGCAGGGGGAATTTCTGCGCTGGTTGGCTGTTTTGCACCCTGACGCGAGCGAAGGTCGCGCGACGAGTTAAAACACGCGGCTCGCGGGGGCGAGGGGTGAAACCGGGAGCTGGAGCTCGGGTTTTTTGGTACAGCGGGGGGGTCGAGGCGTTACTTCAGCACCTCGGGGAGGGGAAGGCTGCACTCACCTCCATCCAGGCTCCTGGAGGCTCGTTTGCTGGCCGTGCGCTCGAACTGGGGCGCGGGCCGGTCGATCAGGGCACTCGCCTGCCGCGTCTGCGCCTGCGTCCGCCCGCTGTAGCGGAACTTGGAGCCCAGCGCCAGGAACCTGCTCTTCGGGATGGCCTCGGTGGAAGTCAGCCTGAAAAAAAACACGTCCACGGTTTAAATAAAAAAACCTCCAGGTCAAGCAAGAGGCAAATCCAGCGGAGCTCGGCGCGGTTGAGGAGGGTAAGGAATAAATCTGAAAATCCGCGTCACCGACTTCGAACTATCTCGTGAGGTTTGGTGGATTTCGCCCCCTCCAGGAAATCCCCACTTGGCATTTCCCAACAAATCTCCTCAATTTCTAACACCAAATGCTTTGAAATGAGTGCTCCTTCACGGCTGTGGCATCTCCATCAGGAGAGCTCCCCAGATCCAGAGAGCTCAGTGCGCTTCAGAGTAGAAATACCTTCTGAAGAATCCAAGAGAGCACTTTGAGTTGGACTGAGCTCAAATCCCGCTAAATCTGAGCTGTTCTTGTTTAGGTGCCACTCACCAAACTTTATTTTTTAAGGAGTTTCATTTTCTGTGGATGTACTGGGAAGGGAGAGTAAAGGGGGGGAGGTAAAGTGGAAATAAAATAGAAATTAAAGAAGTCTCTTGCCAGTAAGTCTCACATCTACATCAGCCAAAGTTTTCCATCTTATGTATCTTATGAAGCAGAACCTGCTTAAAAATTTACTGCAAAATAAACACTTAAATGTCCCTGCAACCATTTCACTCCAATTGCTCTGAACCCTAAGGAACACTGAAGGAACTAAGCAACACTGCTCATTTTCAGCAGTTACACTAAAGCATGAGTTACCCAAAGTTCAGACAACCCACCTGAAGAAGGTGTGATGTTCAACACATACTTTCCACAGCTTCTTTGCTGCCCGGTAACTTGGAAGCTTGAAGCCAATTGTACTTTCATACTGTTCTTGCTGTGGAAAACATAAGTTATTTAGGTATAGCAAGGAATAAATATGGCAGGAGCTCAGTTCCCAGCCCTTTGCTCTGTTCTGCTGCGGCACAAACTGCTGAACTCACTCCAGGACGTGCAGGAGGAGCTCAGGTCAGAGGAAAGACAGGCTTTGGCCACAAGCCTGGGCATCTCTCAGGGTGCGCTGGGATTTACAGAGGAACATGCTGTGGATTTTGCAGCCAGTCAGCCTCATTTACACCCCCATCATACTGCCCAGCTGCAGGATGGGGTCAAACATTGATCTCCTTGCAAGGCTGGGTCAAGGCAGTGGTAGCAGGAGGAGGAGGAAGAGGAGGAAAGAGGTAGATCCCCATTGTAGCCAGGCTGCTCCAAGGATCTCCCCATTAATGAAGCAGCACCAGTGCATCCATCCCCTGCCTCCTGCCCTTAGGTGAAAAGCTAATTCGAATTTTCAATTAATTTCTTTTAATAAAAGCAGGACAAAGAGCCTTTTGTTTTGCCTTGTGTCCAAAAAAATAAAAGAGAGTTAGTCCTCTCCCAGTTTCAGCTGTCAGCTTCCCACCCGTTTCCCTGGATGCTGGGAATTCCCCGCCGTGCCAGGAGGTGGTGCTGGATGACACGCAGTTAAACCCTCACCAGCTGGGCTGGAGCTCACACTCTGCTCAGACACCCTGATCCCAAATGCTCATCCAGGGAAAAGGCCGTTCCCTCCCCGTTCCCTCCCCGTGACACACAGGCGGTGACAACCACGAGGCAGTGCCAGGTGACACACAGGAGCCAGGACACACCTCCCCCGGCCGAATCTTTATGAAGAAGCTGCTGCGCTTGTAGGAAATCTTCAGGACTTTGGGCCACGGGAAGCGGTTGATTCTCAGTTTATCTTTGTAAACAAGAAGGCCACTGGAACAGACTCCCAGAGTGATGTCCACTCCTTCCAAGTCCTGGGAAAGCAGAAGAGGGTTTAAGCGGCGTCAGGGTCAAGAGTTTCAGGTCAACATCTGCCTTCCAAATCACCCCTTTGGTCTTGCCCCAAATTCATCTCCCCACTCCCCCAGACTCCAGCTCCCAGCTCCAGGTTGGCTTTTTCTTCACGTTTCTCCTCACAACCTCCTCCTCCTTGTTGATCTTTCCTGCCCTGCTGGTTGCCCAAAGGGCTTATCTGGAGTCCAACCTGCATTTCCCCACGTGGCAGGTCAGAGGCATAAATTCAAAGTTCCTCAGAGCAAGGACTCGTCTGCATCAGGAGCTTTGGAAAGCTACATAAATAATAAACAACCAGGAAGAATCCTTTCTCCTGCAGGAATGCTTGAGGCATTCCTGTTCTGTGCCTGTATTTCCATACTTCCTCTACCTTTCAGAAGGAGCTTCTTGAAACAAGTAAACTTGCTCCTGCGAGGGAAGGATAATCAAATGACAAAACCCACAGGCAGGTGCTGGTTCTCACCTTGGCTTGGTGAAGGTCGACTCCATACATAGACAGCTTTTTTGCATTCTCAAGAAATTCCAGGTCTGCTTGGGCTGGAGTCATGGATCTGGGGAAAGAGAGAAAGGGCTTGGTATTCCCCAAACTGTTGCCTCTAAGAGAGGACAAATCAGACTTCACAAAACTCATTAGATTTTGTTTTGCTTTCAGTGCAACCAAATTTGTGCTCAGGTGGTGAATTATTAAATCACTCTGAATGCCCACATTTGCGCTTTGAGACATCCCCACAACACAGATGCACTTTGCTCCTGTGGAGCTGTACAGGCACTAGAGAAGAAAGCAAGGAACAGCAGTGAGGGGGCAAAACTGGATTCAGCAGAAGAAAACCCCAACTGAGCCGCAGGCAAAGGGTGACAGGTCCTTGTCCCTCCAGACCTGCTGCCTCCAGACCTCCCCAAACCCAGCTATTGTTCTCCAAGCCAAACACATGGACAGCTGAGACCACTCAGCAGCGATTCCAACCAGGGGACCAGATGAATGAGGGGTTTTCTGGGAACAGATGGTGCCCTGTCTGCAGGAGGGGCACAACTTAACAGAGACATCCTGATAATGGCCTCCATTATCAACGGTATTGAAGTGCCCTTGTTAATAAGTTTCTGGTGTGTGAGGTACATTAACAGCTCTGTTGGGAGAGAATTCAGCTGCATACATTTCATTTTCTTCCCTCCTTTGATGTCTTCCTCACTGAGCCCTCCCATACATCTTGTGTGTGATGTAAATAGAGTTTGTGGTGGTGGCAGACAGGGCAGACAAAGACAGCTGTAAGGACAACCCTGCAGGAAAGACCCAGGAGCTGTCTCTATCTCCACAGGTGCCTTGTGCTTTGCAAATATAGTAGAAAGAGTTGGAGAGTGGTTTAGAAGAGATTTCCCAGGAAGTGTTCAAAAAACATGTGTGTGTGGCACCTGAGAACCCGGTCTAGTTGAGGGCTTGGCTGTGCTCAGGGAATGGTTGGCTTTTCCAGCCTTAACGATTCCATGACTCTGATTCCCACTGAAAACCCTCTGACAGTTTAATGTTCACAGAATACAGACCAGAAATTAAACTGGGACGTTTTGCTTCCTCCTGCACACGCAGGCAGATGAAATATAACTACATCTTATACCTTGAAGTCTCCTTCTAATGAAGCCATGAATAATTCATCACCCTGATCCGCCACTTCCAGCACAGCAGCGGCCTTTGACTCCGAGTCATGAAGCTTGTCAGTGGCCTGGTACTTATTTTCCCTCATTTCCTCTCCTCTCAGTGCAAATGGAGGGGAATCAATTTAAAGTATTGATTTGGAGGGTTGAGTGAGGTGTTAATTGTAGGTCTGGCCACAGCCAGGAGCCCATGTCCACCCTTCCCACTGCACTCCAGTTATCAGTTCCCCCTCTGCCTCTGAGAAGGTCTTGTCTTTGCTCTGTTCTTGCCAGGGCATCAACCAGCAGCTTTTTCTCAGGGCTGCTGGTTGAAAGTACCACCGAGTGGTGTTATGGATTTTGGGGGGTTTCCCCTCCAAAATCCCACTGCATCCCTGGGAGGGCACAGAAGCTACAGCCACCACACCTTACCTGTATGTTTTATGAAGCTCCACAACCTTCTCCTCGAGCTCTTTTGTCTGGTTCGGGGCCAGTTTGAACTCAGTGATGTAATCTGGGCCGTGGAGATCAGGATCATAGTCCCCCAGCTCCGACTGGACCGTGTAGGAGCCCAGCAGGGCCAGGGTTGCAAAGGAGCAGGGCAGCCGCCCCGTGAGGATGTCCTGTCTGAGCTGAAGACACAGGTAATACCTGGGGGCAAAAAGGAAAATATTAATCACAGGGAAATTTATGAACTTGAGGATCAGTCTCTATTTCAAGCCACTGACGAACGAGCGTGGTGCTCGTTCCCAATTTCTACCTCCATTTTTAGCCATTGCCAAGGTAAACAGTGTGGAGCTCTGGGGGATTTAAGGTCACCTCCACTCTGCAAAGGGACCAGAAAATCTCAGGTTCAGATAAAAATGTGCTTTCCTCTACAAACACACCCATGCCAGGGTTGTGCATGACATGGCTTTACATAAGAGCAGGAGCATCCACACACACACTGAGAACAAACCAAACCCCCTCCAAATGGGGAAGACATTTGATCTCCTCACTGAAGGAGCCAAATATTAAACATTTCTGTTCTGTATTCACTGCTCTGCTGGCAGCAGATTCCCAGGGAACTCACCTGGTTATATCCTCTGTCAGCTGGGCAGGATCTGGAGGATAAAACTTGACATTGAAGGTAAAATCCCAGGGGCCTCCTGCAATGACAAAGGAGAGGTTGAGAAAAGTCAACAGCTTTGTGACAGTCATTATTATTAAAGCTGTTATTAAAAAAGCTGGGAATATCCAACCTGATCTTCAACAATTCACCCAGCAGATGTAACACTGACCTTATACTGCTCACTCTCACAGCTGGATGCAGCTTAACATCTGTATAAGATATGGTTTTATTTATAGGATACAAGCAGGAGAAAAAAAAAAAAAAAGTAGGGCAGGGAAATACACATAAATAAACCACTACTTGTGGCAAAAATTAAATTAATTGCTAAGAAGCTCAAGGACTCCCATGTTCTTTCATTGATTGAAAAGGGATTCGTGAAGAGAGGGCAGGGGTGGGCTGTAAGTTAATGAATTAGGATTGGTTTATCACTCAAGCCAATTTTCAAATTTCAAGAGGGGATGTGCTAAGTCACTTCTCAGCCTAATGCACTGGGGTCAGGTGGTCAGACACAGGTTAAACTCAGCCCAACACAGGCATCAATCTCTGCATGAGAAGCCAGCAAGCACCAGGGTAGGAAGAGCTTTACGAGCCCAGACCTAAATGTTTAATATCTAATGTTTAAAATAATACTTAATGGTTAAAATAATGTTTGCAAACCTGCTGCAGCGCCATTACAGGCATTAACTGGAGTGAGAATCCACATAATCACACTAGAACTGGCATTATGAGTGGTCTGGCCAGCCTAGGTGCCACAGCTGAAGGGGTTACTCTCTCTTTTCCTTGAAAATAATCCCATTTCCCAGCAGAAAAGAGTCCTGACCGGGTGATGTTCATAGTTACATCTCCCCCCTCCCCTGCTGTGGCCCTTTAACACCAGCTCAAAATGAGATTTCTTTCAGAAAGAGAAGATCTGTCCCTGCACTTCACCCAGAGGTTTATCCCAATCTCACAGAGGGAAGAGGGGCCACGCAGCATCCCTGGATTTACTTCTTATGCAACGCCATAACTGGGATTAAACACAAGGCATGTTGTTTTCATCACACACAGCTCAAAACAAGCCATTCCAAGAGGTCATTTTAGGGAGCAGAGGTTATCTAAAGCAACATGCATCAGGGTACACATACTCATACCCACATTCAACCTATTTTCCAGTAAAATCTAATAATCTGCCATTTAACCCATCTCAGGGGATCAGATTCCGTAAGAAGCTGCTGCTCATCGCATTTACCAGATGAATTTTACGGATGGAGCAGCTCCTGCCCTTCAAACACACCCTGCTGTTGATTCCCAGAGAAGTTGGTAAGACCAGGAGCTTTCCCTGCTCCACAGCCCTGTGGTTTCCCCCCCCCCCTTCCCCAATCAGGAATTAGTGACACACTTTGTCCTGTGCCTCCCACCAAAAACACCCATAAAACAGTGTTTTACTCTCATAAAACAGCATTATGCTTCCCAAACCCAGTGTTTTACTTTCAAAAAACCAGTGTTTTGTATCCAAACCCCAGTAGTTTACTTCCCAAACCCAGTATTTTACTCTCAAAGCAGTCTAGACTGGCCCCCAAGGGAAAACAAAAGCCTCTGAAACGTTTTTAATTACGACACTGCCCTCATCTTGAAGTAATTCAATGCTAGCAGACCTTAAAATACCACTCTGGAGAGCATCTGGTGATACTACTCGAGCCATTTATCGCCCCAGCACTCCTATTTGGACCCCAAAACAGCCTCAGAGTCCATCAAACCCTGCTCCAGCTCACAGTTCTGCTCAGGCTCTCCCAATCTCCTTTGGGAGTTCCGTGGTTCCCACTGACACCTCCAACAAGGAGCCATCTCCCATTCCAGCCCTGCAGAGCCAGGGTTGCTTTGCTCCAGGCAAACACACCCCAAGCCCACGTTTTGTCAAGGAAATGACATTTTTTTTCCCTCAATCCAGAGCATCCCTAAGTCCTTAAGAAGGAGAGAAAGGACGCAGAGACTGCTTGAACTTGTGCTGATCCCTGCCAGCCACCCTCACTTGACCTCTCCCCATCCCTGGGCCCCCTCCAAGGCCATGTTATTTAGGGAAGAGGGGAGAAACCACACCCCCCCCCCCCTCCTCCCCAGATGATAAATTCAATCTACTTACCATGAACCTGCTTTTTTATTTCTTTGGCAGGATCCAGCCACGTCTGTAAGAGGATAAAAACATTCACAGTTTAACAGACATTCCAGAAACGCCACAGAAAGCTGCAAATTGCTAAAAATACGGCGAAAAAAGACAATATTTGACACTCAGGCAGCCATGGAAACTGGAGAGACAGTGCATTTTTCACTACTTTTACTCCAGGCTGTGGTCTCGGGGGTGTATTTCCAATCATTCATCTACCAGGTACTCGTAGGGGAGGCAGGAGGAAGGGGGGAAAAAGGCAGAATATCAGGGCTGCAGGTACAGCCTGAGAGGGGCACTTCTACAGCACCATTTTTTTTCCCTCCAGAACCTTTAAATATAGGCAAATAGGATGTTTACATTCATTTTAATCACCCTGTCTCCTCACTTAGCCTACTCAGATCAAAGATCACCAAGACTTTCTATTATTAGCTCTGGTTTTAAACGACCTAATCACTGAAATATGAGTGAAAACACCCAATTACCACGGAAGGCTGGAATTTCACAGGAGTGTGACATAAACTTCATTTCTTTTAACTATGACTCAAGTTTCTACTAATTATCTCAGCTACAAATATAGAAATATATCCTTTTTTTCCTCTCCCCTCTGTAATTTGGGGTTCTGTGGGATGATGGTGCAACATAAGCCACAAAAAACAACTCCTGCTTTTTTCCACGGTCTGAGCCTTTCCCTTCGGACACCTCAGAGTCTGCCCCACTGCAGGGGATGGCACAGGGTTAATGACCCTCCTGGAGAGGCTACATTTAACCACCTTCTTCATTTTCACCAGCCCTGAGAAGGATTTAGACAGTCCAGGTCTCCCGAGGTGAAGGAATTAACTCATTGAATCCCCCGAGCTAATCTCTCCCGACCAGAAGGACACGTAACTTCGTGGCAGGGAGACAGCCATCCTTACATTTTAATCTCCTCTTTTTATGTGCCTGTCCCTCTAACCTATAAAAGTGGGGGTTAAAAAAAAAAAACATTTTGGAAAGGCAGATGGGCCACTTGATGCTTTTTTAGGGCCACAGCTTTTGAGCTGAGCATCTCCACGGCCCGGGCTGGTGCCACCGCTGCTCGTTACTGGGCTGGGCAGCCCAGGGTGCAGTCATGCATCCCACCCCGCCTGATCCAGCAGACAATGATGGGAGCAGCAATTAACAGCACTTTTATCCCACTGGGTCATGAATCAGTGGGAAACAATCCTCCCTTTCAGAGCAATGAGCTCCTTGCTGCTCCGGCCGCTGTCACAACCTCCTAATCCCGCTGTCACCCTCGGCTACGCCCATGTGGGTAAACATCCCTCCTCAGAAGGTTTATTCCCGAAATATCAAGGTGGAAAATGCCACATGCAACCCTTCCCTGGCCAGGAATACACACATGTAGCTCTGCCTGCTCCACAACGGCTGTAGGTGAGGTGCAGGAGCTCATCCTTGGATTCCTATCAACATCATTTCTACCTGTGAATCAGTAACTCCGTGTGGGGTCTTGTTTGAGGTTACAGCAGGAGAGAGGTGGAGCTTCAAAGTTCAGTGAAACATAAGCAGAAAGACTCCCAAAAAACCCTCCAAAAATGTTGTTTTCCCCCTTCAGAGCAAACCAGACCAGGTTACTCCACATTGGAGCTGAGCAACCCATGGATAGAGGCTTCACCTTCCTCAGCTCCCGGCTCTGGGACACAGAGGTGACAAAACAATCTGTTTTCAGTCCCTGCAGTTAAAAAGCTGCACAACTTCTCATCCCTTGTTAGCTGGGGGAAGACTCTTTTTGCTCTTAACTGGATCTAAAGTACACCTACCCTTCCCTCTGCAAGAACAAACTCCCAGGGTAAAAAAACACACAAGAAGATAGCAAGACACCAGAGACAGTGAAACAAACCCAAGTGGGAGCTCTGCCTGCCTCAAACAGTGACAGGGTGTCATTTTACCTGCGTATTAAAACATTATAAAGTATTTAATGTCAGCCCTATAACCTGCCATGGGTGAATGGTGCAGGTGAAGCAGTGGAATATTCAGAATTTGCACCAACATAAAAGGTCTAAAGGACACAGAATTGGGCCCTTCATTTCGATTTAGCTTTTGGTTTTGTGAAACAAACATTGAGTAACTGCTGAGTTAAAGGGTAACCAAGGGGTTTAAAAGATAAGACACTGCCTGAGTCAAACCAAACAAAGACCTTAAACCGAAACCACGAGTTGGAGTTTGGTATGGAGTCACTGGTGTTCTGCAGGGCAAAGCCTCAACTCCAAACTGCCCTGGGTGGCTCCAACCAAACCTTCCCAATGCTGACACCAGTGCCAGGGCAGCCTGACTTCTTCAGCTGGAGTTCTAGAACTTAAAGGCAGGAAACAACTTACCTTGCAGAAAGCTAATACAACAGATTTCCTCCAGGTGAAGACTCAAGTCCACAAGGATTCTATCATTCTGTGACTCGTGCAGCCTTTTTACTAAAACCCACACTCCTGTAGTCACTTATTCACCACTTCTGCCTCTGTGATGACCCCCAACGCATTTTTAGGGAGGACATCAAAAGCAGTTTTAAGGGGAGCTTGTGTGGGACATGATCCTTTGGAAGAGCTGAATTCCCCCCGGGGCCAGACCACCCCAGAACAGCAGCAGCTTACCCTGGAGGTTGGTGTGTCCCATATGGCCAAACCAAAGTAGTCTTCTTCCAGCAGATTGAGGTGGTCACAGACTTTTTTAAGGAGCTCCTGTCCCTTGGCATGTTTCTGCAAATAGACAAAGAAATCCTGTTGGGCAGGCTGGGTTTTGCCTGTTCTCAATCACAGGGGAGGGGAGGAAGGGAATGGCACCAAATCACACTGTGCACTATCCATAACAGGGAAAAAAGCTGCAAACCCCCCTTCCTGGCTGTTTGAGAGCAAGGACTCCTGATAGGAAAGAGCTCCAGGCATCAGAATTCAATGGAGAGGCAACAGAAACCCAGTGGGTCTCTCTCTTCTGACCAGCTCTGTGCCTGAAGCTCCCCCAAAGCTGAACTTCCCAACAGAGCTCAATAAACACCCAGGATCTGTACAGGTTTTCCCTGCCAAGGTACAGCCAGAGCCCCAGTATCTCCTGGGTCCAGGCTGTCAGAGCTGGTGTGGATCAAAAGATGAACCTGCTGCTACAACCCACTGCTACAGTTGTTCATTTGGGGGACAACCTGACTTTTTTCAGGTTCACAAAAAAACCGGCCCATAATTTTTTTGTGGCCTTTCCATCGCCCCGATCTGCTGATGAAAACCACCTTTTCCTGTTTGCCTCCTGCACCCAGAGCTGCTCAGCACTTCTTGCCTCCAGAAATGCACTTTGAGCCTTCCTATTTCCTCTTTCCCCCCCCCTCAATTCCTGCAGAAGTGAACTGGCCCTAGGAACAGATACCCTTTTAGTCCAAAAGCATGAAGGAAAACATCCCTGAGGCATAAAACTATGGCAACCAGAAGCAGCTCATTCCATTGGAGGCTTTGTTAGAAGAAAGTGCCGTTCCAGTGACGCAAAATCAGCTTCACTTAATGCCTTGCTGGTGCCCACAGCTCTCCTGTCACTCATCTCTGCATGGCAACTGCTCCAAGACCCCTGCCTGGTTTTATTCCTTGGCTTTATTCCAGCCTTTCAGCTGTCAGGTCCTTTGTGCACACGTTGTGACTCTATAGGTAACACAATGTATGTGTTAGCCTGGGTATCCCTCAAGGAATTGGCACTGATCTAGGCATGAAAAACCTTCCAGGGGCTGTCAGTTGGAAAGGGATGCCTGAAAGCACTAATTCTCCCTGGATAAAGGCATTTGTGCTGCTCATTGCCTACACCTTTGCAATTCCTTCCCAATTAAAGCTTAATAAACTCCCAAAACGCCAGAGTAGGATTAGAGGGGTGTTAAAGCCCAGGGTGCCTGCCAAGATAAGAGGGTCTCACTGACACAGTGGTCCCTCCTAATCCTCTCTGCAGTGCCCACCACGATCCTCTGGACCTACTGGAGAGATTTCTCATGTCCTGCTCAAGTCAGGACTCCCCACACCACCAACAGCATCCGTGCCTGTATCCAAAGGCATCACAAACTCACACACAGAGCCATGGCAAGCTGTCACCAGGATTTTGGGGGGACAGTTCCCCTTTTAGGGGGCCTGCACACAACATCCCTGGCCCAGGGGGAAGGAGTTTGGGGCAGGATGCTCTGAGCTGATCCCAGGCAATGCCAGCAGCGCCATCGTTACACAAACACCCGGCACTGACCTACTTGCCCAGGATCACCCAAGGTGACTGTTCCCACAAGGAACCCTGTGCCCAGATACCCTCTCCTGGCCCATTTACCAGCAGGACTGAGGGAAAACAAGCTGGTGGAACTATGCTCTAGTGGTAAGTACCAGATTATTAATATTCCAGACAAGTACTTCGATACTGAAATAGGGATTTCTGCTCGCTTTTTATTGCCCTGACAGCACCACAGCCCTGTGAGAGAATGCACAGAATAAAGCAGAAGAAAAGCTCTCAGATGAAGGGGTTTGCAGTGCTCTAAGTCAACATAATAATTTTAAATTGTTTACTGCAAATATATTCAACTGAGGGTTAACACAGCGTGTTTTTCTTTCCATCCAAGCACCAGCAGCCTGAGAGGTGAAGGGACCTTGGGGAACTAGAAAAAGCACAAATCAATTTGGCAGCCCATTTTATTCGAAGGAAAGGGGGCAAAAGATATTTAGACCATCCCAACTTACCCCAAAAGACTAAACTCTGGTCTGGGATACAATGAGAAAGATGATGAACAGCAAGTGAGATAAAGTTTGGGTTTGTTCTTTTTTTTTAAATCCTTCCTACCTGTAGGCAAGACACCCTGGAATTGTAGAACAATAAAAAATAAAGATTCCTAGCACCCAGAGGCTTTTACAACACACTAAATAAGTTGTTATAGCTTACAGCAGGCTTGTTCTGCAGTAAAGCCTGTCATGTAATTCCCTGGTAGCACATTAGGCCCCTATTAAATCGTGTTTGTGGTGATTTTTCGAGAGGAGCAGAAGGGAGAGGGGGGAGAGAGGAGAAGCAGAACCAAACCCCACAAGTACTTACATCCACAGCACACTCAAAAATGGTGTCATCCAGCAAGACCACTTTGCAGTACATGTTTCTGTGTCTTTTCACTGCTTTCTGGGCAGCTTTCAAATCCTTGTCTGCCTTGGTCTCCGGAGTCTCCGGTTTGGGCTCCGGCTTGGCACACTCTTCCTTGGCTTCTCCTTCTTCCTTGTCCTCAGGGTCTTTACCCTCTGGCTCCTGCTCGTCCCTCCTCTCCTCCTGTGCAGGCTGAAACCCCCCCACCAACAGCCCCGTTTAGAGGAGTCAAACAAACAAACAAAGCATCACATGAAACAAGCACTGCAGGGCTGGGGCCTCACCCAAAATTCGTTATCTGACTTCAACCTGCAACCCGGGACCTGGAGCAGCAGCTGGGGTGAGCAAGGGAATGATATTAATTTTTAAAGCCTTGACAAGTCATTTTCAAGTCCTCATTTAATAAAGGATGTAATAAAAAAGAAATAAGGGTTGATTAGAAAAATCGAGGCAGATTATATCCTGCAGATCTTCGCGGTGTTAATGACAGCATCTTTTGCACTGGGAAGGTTTTGGCCTCCCAGGAAAGACAACCAGTGCTCCCAGTGCCAATCTGGGCTCTGCTCCAGTGCACTCACTCTCTACATGGCAAGGGGGGATGGTTTTACACTCAAAGAGGAGAGGTTTAGATGGGATATTGGGGAGAAATCCTTCCCTGTGAGGCTGGGGAAGTCCTGGCACAGGTGCCCAGAGAAGCTGTGGCTGCCCCATCCCTGCAATTCTTCAAGGCCAGGTCAGACAGGGCTTGGAGCAACCTGGTCTGGTGGAAGGTGTCCCTGCCCATTCCAACCCAAACCATTCCATGACTCTATGGCAGCAGTGGCACTAAAAGGGGAGGTCAGGGCTAGGATTTCATGGCCCTGTGAGCTGACCAAGCAGCTCCCTGCCACCAAAAAGGGAAGGCGGCCCTCACACCACTGTCCCTTTGCCTACAGAAGCACTTTGTGAGCCATTTTAATTCACTGAAATAGCAGAAAGAGATGCAGTCTGGGGGCAGGAAGAGGAAGGAAGCTGGTTTTTATTTTTTTTTTCCCCTCTGCCATTTCAGCAGGTTAACCGAGTTCACAGGAGGCTCTGACGAGCACTGGCAGGGCTGGATGCAGCGGGAGCACAGCTGGAGCAGGGGAAGAGCAAAACCTTGTCTGTTCAAGCCATCACATCTCATGAAATCACATCCAGGCACAAGTGCACGGAGGTATTTAAAAACTAAATAATGTCCACAAGCTGCTGACTTCTGTTCCAGCAGAACTGGGACAATCGGGAGCAGGGAATCAGTCAAAGCTCCTAATGCCCGTCGGTCAGCATTTATCAAACTGCAGCACCTCACAACTGCTGTCACAGCAGAAATATCTGCAGAGTGTCACAGTTCAGAAAGCCACTGACTGGGATCTAAAATAAGAACTGGGGAAAAAAAAAAAAAAAGGCGCCAACGCTCCGTCTGAAACGAACGGCCCGTGAAGGAAGGTTGGGGTGAACTCTCATATGTGCTCAGAAGCAGTAAATCAAAGTTAAACAGAGGAAGAAATCATGGATTTAGAAGCCCAGAATGGGTTGGGTTGGGAGGAATCTCAAGGATCATCCAGTTCTACCCCCTGCCATCGGCAGGGACTCCTTTCCCTAGATCAGATTGCTCCAAGCCCCGTCCAACCTGACTTTAAACACCTGCACTGATGATTTCCTTCTTGAAAACACAACTTCTGGGTTGAAACAGCATGAAAATTTCCAGCTCCTCCTCATCCTGCTAATCCCAACCCTCAGAGGTACAGAGCACGAGCAGAGACCATCCCAGGGTTTTCACAGGCTCAGAAATTTGGGAAAAGGAATTAAAATGTGTTACCTGCTACCTTCTCTACAGCTTTGTAATTTAAAGGAGGTGGATTTACAATTATTGTTTACTGGCAATGCTTGAGCTTGTATTGCTCCAAAATTCAGCTTTTGGGGGTACCTGGCATTGCTCTGGAGCCACTCAGAGCTGAGGGCAGTGGGTAAGAAACCCAGATTTCACCCTGCACGATCTGTGGCTCCAGCAACACATCCAGGTTGGCTGGGCTGCAAGAAATCCCCAGCTGAGGAAAAAGGGACACCCTCCTCCAAGTCCAGGCATAAGTAACAGCAGAGCTGCCCCTACCCAAAGAATAAGAGAGGGCACCCAACACCCCCAAAATCGACAACCACCTGCGGCTCTGTGAATGTTCCCCGTGGGTGTGTCTGCCTCAATTTCTACTTCAAATTTTGAAACTTTATATAATCTTGCATGAAAAATGACCCTGGCTGCGAAGACCAGACACCAGACAGCTACCAGGAGCTGGGCTCAGCCCACCAGCCTGCAGAAATCCCTGTCTACGTGATGCATAAGCAGAAAATATTTGTATTTTGGCAGGCTCAGCACCAGCCCAGACTGAGCAGATGACCAAGTCCTGAAACGCTGCGTTGAAGAAACCCTTCCCTAAATCCATGTCCACCACCTCAGGCCACTGACCTGCCCTTATCCTGCTCACTCCAACTGGTTTTGGACCCCTCTGAATGTGAACCCTCGTTCTGAGGTGTCATCCCAACCTCAGCAGAGCAAGGACTGCTCACAGGGCATTTCAAGTTATGCTGTGAGGTGCTGAGCACAATTCCCAGAGCAGGTACTTGGCAGGACAGAGCAATGAAGGGAGAAGAGTGGGAAGTACGAGATGGGACACCGGGAGCTGACACCTCACCGGCTTTTCTGGTCAAGCTCGCCAGCCTGGGATACGAAGTTTCTACAGTTTTGGCTGCAAAGACACATTTTGAGGACAGCAGGGAGCCCATCCCACAGGATGGGGTGCTTTACCTGTGTTTCTGCACTGCTCAAGGAATGGAGGTCCAGTGAAGGGTCGGTTTTGAGCTCAGGCTCGGGAGCTGCGATGGGCGCTTTCACCAGGATATCTTCATCAGGGCTGGCTCCTAATCCTGCGCCTTTCTGGTCACCTCCTGCCTCTTTAGGACCATCAGTGTCTTTCTCCTCTTCGGACACCTGAGACTTGGGCCTCCTGAGGAAGGAGGAGAAGAGGCGGGACAGGCCCCGGCCCTCAGAGGTGCGACGTTCCTTCTTGCTCTGCTCCTCGTGCGTGGGGGTGTCTCCGTTGGAGGCCTTCTGCTTCTGCCCCTGCCCTTCTTGCGTGGGCTGAGCCCCTTCCTCCAGGGAAGCCTCCTGCTTCTGTGTTTCAGCAGCTCCTTCCTCCTCCTTGGCTTGCTGCTGGTCCGAGCTGTCGGCGTCCGCCGCTGGGCTCTTCTCTGTGGTCATGGTGGTGCTGCAAGAGAGGAGCAGGAGGAGCTCAGTCAAGAGATGGTTTTCCAACATTCAGGTCTGGTGGAGCTGCTCAAGGCAAGCCACGAGCACAGACAGGCCACGTTCACCAGTCACACCACCCTGCCACAGAATCACACAATGTTCTGAGCTGGAAGGGACCCACAAGGATCGAGTCCAGCTCTTCAGTGAATGGCCTGTACGAGGACTGAACCCCTGCCAACGCCAGCCCACTGGGTCAGGAAGAGCAAAACCATTCTTTTTGTTATGCTTTGATAGAAACATCTCTACTGGTGTTTGCCCCCCACCCTTTGGACAACGCTGAGAGATTGGGGGCTGTTCAGCCTGGAGAAGGGAAGGCTCTGGGGAGACCTTGGAGCCCCTTCCACTGCCTAAAGGGGCTCCAAGAGAGCTGGACAGGGACTTGGGACAAGGGATGGAGGGACAGGACAAGGGGAAACGGGTTCCCACTGACACAAGGCAAGGTTGGATGGGATATAATTCCTCCCTGTGAGGGTGGGCAGGCCCTGGCACAGGTTTGCCCAGAGAAGCTGTGACTGCCCCTGGATCCCTGGAAGTGTCCAAGGCCAGGTTGGAACAACCTGGGCTGGTGGAAGGTGTCCCTGCCCATGGCAGAGTTTGGGACCGGATGAGCTTTAAGGTCCCTCCCAACCCAAACCAGTCTGTGATTCTGTGATCTGAACACATCAAACCACACTGATGGGGACAGGACCCACTGGTGTGGATCAACTACACTGATCTGCACAAGACCAGGCCAGTGGAGCCGAGCAGATTTTGGGATTCACGGAATCTCTGGATTGCACACAGCAAAAAACATAAAACGAAAAGGTTTCCAAACAACACCCATAATGCAGAGCAGATTTCCTCAGAGCCTGTGCTATTAAACTGATGCAATGTTTACTTCAACTTTAGCCTGGGCTGTTGACACAAAAAGATGGAAATCACATGAGAAGAATATCTATTTAAGGTATAAAGAGGACCCAAAATAATCATGCTTTAGAGGGGATAGAACTAATCTTTGTGCGTTGCATCACATGTATCTGCAGCAATAAATTGCCACTGCTTACACTGAGCAAATAGCATATAATCCAATATGCCTCAATCCCCAGCCCCAGCCTCGGCGTACAAACATTTGCTCAAAACACAGACCTAAAATTAGGAAACATTTCAAGATGTCACCCTCCTACGTATTATTGCATTCATCAATTTTAATTCAACTCACGCTGGTTGCCAAAAGAACCAGAGTGCTGGAAGGAGAAAAGCCCCCCCCCCCCAGCTCTCCTCGCATTTAATGTGAACACCTGATATTATTCCTAATGCTTTGGTTAAACCAGGGCAGCATCAGAGACCTTCCCTGAATTTGTTCCTCCAGCAACGCAAATTTCCTGAGGTTACAAGGTTTGCTTTGAGGGTTTGGTGGGTTTATTTCTTTTCAGGGAGGGTTTTTGGAAAAGCAGGGATGGAACCCACTGGGTCTGTGCTTCCATTGGAGCGGATTTAGGACAGGTTCTCTGGATCCTTTGAAACTGTGTCAGGGGCAGGCTCAGGGTGGATCTCAGGGAAAGGTTCTTCCCCCACAGGCTGGTTGGGCACTGAACAGGCTCCCCAGGGCAGTGGGCACAGCCCCAAGGCTGCCAGAGCTGCAGGAGGCTTTGGACAATGCTGTCAGGGTGGGATGGTTGGGGTGTCCTGTGCAGGGCCAAGAGTTGGACTGGATGATCCTTGTGGGTCCCTTCCAATTCTGAATACTCTATTATGCTATGAAACCTCTTCGCTTCTCCCAAAATCCACTGCCACGGATGCTGTTGGCCCCATTAGCAACACTCTGCAGGGCCCCCCCCAGCCACCACACAGCCAATTCCTGCTCTCAACAGCTCTCCAAGAACTCCTGGAGATGCCACAAGGCAGTGGAAGGGACAAGGACTATCAAAACCCCATCAGTGAGCCCACGACACAGGACAGGCTCGCCACGGCCAACTCCCAGGGCAAGGCTCCCAACGTCCTGGCACGCGCGGATGGGGAGGGATGCTCTGCAAGCCTGTCCCACCAGGATCACACGCCGACAGCGAGCTCCCTCTGGCACCAGCTGCCAGAGCAGCCTGCTTTGTAGTTGCTTCCCACTGTGTTTGTTTTGAATAAACACGTTTGTAGGAACCGTTATCAAAACACGCAACGTCGGACGCGCGCGTCGCTCCTCGGACTAGAAAGGCAGAATCGGGGCTTTGGAGACGAGGATGGTGGGGAGGGCACAGCTCTTATCAGCCACAGGAAACCAGAGGGACATTCCACAAAGGAACATTTCCTCTGGATGTACTCTTCCCTCCCTAAATTCTGGGAGAAGGATTGTTTACTTATTTACATTTCAAAGCCGCAGTCCGGGACCTTTCCCGATGCAGGGAGGTGGATGAGAAAACAGCTCCTGGTCTTAAACATCTCTTTGTCTTTCCTCCATCCCCAGGGGGATTCCAGGCTGCAGCTCAGCCAGATCCCCTCGGCAGGGCTGGGGATGCGGAGATGGGCACGTAGGAGCCCTGCCCTTCCCAATAAACATTTCATAGCTGCCAGCACCAGTAACTCACAGGGTGCAGCAAACATCCTGCTGCAAGACCTGAGCGAGCTGCTCCGAGCCAGGCTCAGGGCTGGATCCCTCCCCTGGAAGTTTTATGCTCAGAAATGGTTTTCCCATCAAAAGTGAAGAGATTCGTAAGCAAATAACGTAACTGAGAGGCTGCCCAGGGCAAAGGGAGGAAAGGAGATGGTCTTTAATGTGCCTACCAAGCCAAACCAGGCGGTGATTCTGTGATTATCCAAGATAAAGAGCACTTTGGCTGCCCTTGCCAAGCGGTGTTTTGTTTCCATCCCAGCCCACAAAGTACAAGGTTCCCACTCTGCTGCTCTTCAACCCCTCCTTTGGAGAAAGCACAACCCACGGCCAAACCACAAGCAGGTTTCTACTCAAATTCAATTTTTTCTTCCTTCACTATCCCACAAGGCAACTCTGCCGAGCCTGCAGGTGCCTCAGGAGCTCCCTGGATGCTGGAGGAGGATGCTCTGCTCTTGTAGGAGCGCTCAAGTGGTGCTGCTCACCTCCTGCTCTGAGCTGCCACATTTGTATATACTGCATTTGGGGTTGGTTCTTTTTTGGTAGAGGCTGAAGGTTTGATGCCAGACAGCCTGTAAAAGGCAGGCTCTTCACAAGTCTGGTGTAGAGAAGGTGTTTAACGCTACAGAAATAAGGAAACCGCAACAAAACTCAGATATGATCCCGGAGAGAGATTTCAGGGTGAAAAATCTCACCAGGAAATACATATTTATATTTACGCATCTTTAAGTTTAAGAACATCCTCCAGGCAAGAAGGCTTTGGCAACAGGAAGAGAACTGAAGAAAAGGGAGTTAAATACTCGCAGAGAAGCAAAAAGGCTTTGCCCCACTAGGGACACTTGCAACCACAGGTTGACCTCCAGCCAATCCCATCCCTTTCATCTGCCCTAGAGCAGCCCCCAGAGGAGGATCTGGACCTCCTGGGAATGTTGGAAGAGGCTTTGGCAACACATCTCCTCTCAAAAGGCATCAGCTCAAAGAAACAGGAATGTTGAGGTATGTGTCTGTCACCCTCTCCTACCTCTCAGCTGCTCCAGCATCTCTTATTTAGGCACACAAACAAGTGTAGTGACAATACCTGAAGAAGGGCAAAGTTAATTAGAAATTAGGAAGGAATTCTTCCCTGGGAGGGTGGGCAGGCCCTGGCACAGGTTGCCCAGAGAAGCTGTGGCTGCCCCTGGATCCCTGGAAGTGTCCAAGGCCAGGTTGGAGCAACCTGAGCTGGTGGAAGGTGTCTCTGCCCATGGCAGGGGGTGGAAGGAGAAGGTCTTTAAGGTCCCTCCCAACCCAAATCAGTCCGTGATTCTGTGATAGAAAATCTAACTTATCCCTGCTTCCAAGCCTGGAAAAATGACTTATGGCTCATGCCATAGCTTACTTAATTCCCAGTGGTTTAGTCTTTCAGAGAGAGAAGAAAAAGGACTGTCCACAGGGAAGGTTCAGTTCTTGGAAACCCAAACTGTCTCGCAGCGATGCCCAACACCAGATAAGGGTGATCACACTGCTGGGACAAATTGTCTTGACCTTCCTACCCAAAAATGTGTGGCTTCTGAGAACGCTGCTGCTCCAGCAAGAGCTGGAGACAATGATAAGAGAAAAATTTCTGCTAAAAATAGGCAAAAATCAAATAGTTTCAGCAACAGCGTGGTGGTGCTTTTTTTTTTTTTTAATGCGTTCCTTCCCATTTCATAATGTGTGTGAAAAGCACACAATTCACCAGAGAAACTACACAGAACACTGCTCAAAATAGACAGCACAGCCTGAAAATTCAGTTTAGTCAAGACCTGGTGCGTGTGCAACAAACCTGAGGGTGGGAGAGGGGGAAAACTGCAGCCGCCCCCAGCAGGACTCGCCCAACACATGTGTGAGTTACGTGTCCTACACGTGATTTTTTCTGAAATTCAAACAACCTTAAAATACTCTAAAGCGCCAGAACCATTAGGAATTTATTTATTGTATTTTATTAGAGGAATAATTAGCACTAACATCTATAACCCCTGTTAGAATTCACGTGCACCATCTTTCTATGCTGGTACTTTGGGTCCTGAACAAAAGAGATGCTGCCACTCAGCCTGACCTGCAGGGTAACAGGAGACTCCAGGAGCCTCATTGAACAGAGGGAAAAATAAACCACCCAACACAACACAGATGGCACATTACAACTGCCCGGATTTAATTCTCACCAGAGCAGCCCTGGTAATCTACTGCACGTCGGCAGCCCCGTGCCCCTCTCCCATCTCCTGCTCTTGTACAGCTTTCCTATTTAAATGAGGGCAAAAATAGTAGCTCACCATCTGCTGAAAGCAAATCATTTATGTCAAATTGAAGACTGGGCTTATAAAATGACCTGACTAAATGGAGCAGTAAGTGCATTACAACCG